TGTTTTAGTAACATCTGCAAAAGATATGCAAGATACGTGTTTTATATGTTTTGCTTGTTTTTTGACCTTTAAGCAGCTGATTATTGTATGCTGATATTGCTATACAGCTGATTTTAATTTGACGTTTGTTTGTATAGCTTAAATATATACGTCAATATACAGAAATTGCGTGGAGTGTGAATGATATGTTTGAAGTAGTCTTTTGTCTGTGGTGTAGTATAAATACTAGAAAGACTATTACTTTTTGCGTTGTGAAAGTTGTATCATATAAACGATGCATGTTAAATGTGTTGGTTGTTGTCGAAAGTTAGACGATAATCATCATAATAGAATTTCTTGTAAACTGTTGCAATTATTTATTTCTTCTCGGACGTTAAAACGAATATGTTTGGGCGATTGTATTTGCAAAAGCTGTCGGTCTAAGTATGATAGATGGGTAAGGAAGATCAAGAATGACTTTAAGAGTTTCATTCAAGAAGCTCAAGCTAATATCGATATTGATAATAGTCAAAATAATTCTGAAGTACGTACCTCACCATGCTTTTGCAAATGTATATAAGACGGCTTCACCCTTGATAAATTGTTTAGATTATGGAAATTCATCATAGTAGTAGCTCAATGGATTTGTCCAATATTAGTGATGGTCAGATAACTGTTTCAGGCTCTGTGCAAATTCCTGTTCAGAGAGTAACCAAATCTCACCGGTATTTGGGCGTCTAGTATTTATACAGCTGACGTTCTGAGCGCTAGTTTTTGTTTATGGAACACGTGCTGAGTGCACTCACATTTACTTTTAAAACACAGTACGTGTAGTAAAATAACACCTTTAGTTGAATAGTATAGTGTTCATTTCGATTAGAATTTGGAGAAGAAAAAACAAAACAAAAATCCGTAGTCAATTATTCACTCATATCATTTGACCGATTTCTGTTACACAACAGTTATTTGACATTTTTAACTCATTTAAATTATGTAAAAAATATTATGCTCTTTCATATCGGCCAACACGAATGGAAAAACCAAACTAAAGTAATATATGTAAAACAGCAGTTTGTAGTATTTATCTAGGTAAATCTGCACTTCTGTTCTAATTGCGCAACTCTTTATCATGTTGAAAGAATCAAATAACAGCTACAAACTTACTCATGACCGCATTCATTTATGTTGGAAAAACGAACAGAGGTCTACAGCGTTGCTAACGAGTTGGGAAAAACACTAGTTCGTGCAAATACTGGTGAATAGTTGAAAGCGTGAGCAGGAAAATGGAAAGATTAAACATTAATTTAGCCTGCGTTTTTATTTCTTAATAGCGACTTTTCGATTCAAGTTTAAGAATGTGAATGAACAGAAAGGTTTTTTTGTCCTTCTGAACGAAATGTTTTTGTGTTCTTACACAATATATCTATGCAAAGAAAAATATTAAATATTGACAACAGTCAGTTTAGTGTACATGATTCTGCATGAATCACAAACGTGACTATGAGATTTTTTTCCTTCGTTTCTGTTCGAAAAGAATAGGAGAGCTTCTTACTTCTTGTCAGTACAACGTCCATGGATTAAGAAAAAAATATTTAGAAATTAATGCACACATCACATTAACATTCTTTATTCAAACTAATTGCCATAAATTAGTTTCGTCCATAAAGCTTTAAACTTAAGTTTATCTCATCAATTCAAGTCATGCTTTCGTAAAGTAATAGTACGAATAATAATAACATTACTAATGATGCGTCTGCATCAGTAGTTCCACAACATATCACTAAACTGGCTGTGGCAGTCGTCGATTCCGGAGCAACTGTAGCGACAATTTCTACGGAACACAATAATAACAATAATAACACAAACAATAATATAGATGAACATAGTACTGGTAGTGAAGCTCTCTCTATTATAAATGAATCAAATTTATTTTCATCTAATTCCAATACGGTCCACACTCAACCAAAAGTTAAAAGTACTGTTACGATAATCAATCTCCAAACTAAAATTGGTCTCTACAATCCTCGATCAGTTGCAGACACTTATATTTCTTCAATTCAAAGCATTCAGTTAAACGGGCCCCTCTACTCAGATCTTCGTTCGTTTTCTAGAGATCCTAGATCTTCAAAACCCGAAAAATCCTTTCGGATATTCCAGAGATCCTTGATTTTCTAGAAAACTAAGGCCTAATTCGAAAGTCTGGTCCCATCAGCCCACGCAGTTAGGTGTCTAGTATAAAATAAAACCAATTTTAGATCTCTATCTTGAAGTATATTTAAAAAAAGTGCCCCACACTGGGCATCTTCGAATAAACAACGTGTTTTGAGAGAAAACGCTGCGCATTCGTTGATCTATTTTAGAACATGTAGGAAAATGCTTGTAATCTTTGAATGCAAGGTTACATAGAGTTGTACAACCTCTTATTTGGATCAGAAAAGTCTGCTCTACAAATCTACTTGTTCAGAAAAAATTTACTTGCGTAACTGTTCAGAAAAAAATTATTATTTAAGACCCGGTTTCAAGACTTCTAGAAAACTTGCTCGAAAATCACGAAAAACCAGTTCCAGCCGGAAAGCGATGCAGATTCTGAAAGTAGATACGCTAGGCTATCGTTCTATCATTCAATGTGCTTGTCTGCAAATTGATTTTCTGACACAAAAAGATTTTATTCTGAGGAGGACCCTTAAATAAACAAGATGAAATAGCTTCAGTTCCCTATTCCGAAGGGTTATTAAACGTCATGGACAAGAACGGTCACATCTGTCCGCCTGTTCACGATGGTGAGCTTGTCCTTCTTGTCCATGACCCTCAATCCGAACTAATTATTTGCACTGGTGGGCAATTCTCACAGTGGGCAATTTTCACTAGGCACGTGGGCTTTTGGCCTGCAAGCTAGAGGAAAACTTAAAAGCGCATTTTCTATAGGTTAGCTTGTGTGTTCTATCTAATCGAATGCTTTTTAAATTCTAAAAAGTAAAAAGTTTCCTAAGTGGTTTTTCAGAAATCCAGCCTCTATAAAACCACTTAGAAAACCTTTAAACAACTCGAAAATAATTACATTAGATAGAGAATCATCGATAACCTACTACTATAGTGTTTAGACGATTTGATCTGTTGATAATTTAAAATTTTAAAATTTCAGTCAAAATCCCTATACGCACATGCAAGAAACAAAGGAATCAACTAAATTCAAAATTTTCAGCACAAACACGGCTGAATTTTACACCATTCGACGCAGTTTTTTTACAAAGAGTCCAAATTTATATTGTTTGTTTTCAAAAAAATATTTTTTCGTCGAAAAAGAGACGAAAAAAGAAATCGAAGGTTTTTGTAAAATTCATATCTCCTCTCTGGAGATTTTGTGCATCTTTGTGCATACAGTATAGATGCTTCATATGTAGAAGAACAAACATTAAAAGTTTCAGAGAAAACAAGGGATGGCGAAGGATGGCGCGGTCACTTTACTAAGAACGCCTGTTGGGAAATTACCTAGCAAAGAAAGAATGCATTTTTCGTAGGACAGAAAAGTCTTAGAAAACGAAAGCTTTTTCGACGAATAGATAGGGGAAGATCTCCTCTTTCAGAATATAATAAGTTCATCCGTACACTGTTCTTACTTTCGCCGCTACCGGCTCTTTTTCTCACAGGTCGCTCGAATCTAGTTAAATCTGGAAAACGCTCTATCTCAGCAACGAAAAGAGTTAGAGAAAAACTTCCCAGCTAAAAAAGATCTGTCTTTTCCCTCAGAATATGCTCCGCTATTCAAATAATTAAAAAGCTCACTTACGTGTTTTTCACCTAATGTCTACGTTGTTGTCCACTGTGGGTCTTTAGAGCAAGATTATATTCGATGATACCAAAAGCAAATCTGAACGAAATGAATATAAATATTGGTTTGATAAGTTTATTGAATTACAAAGGTTATATTGTTCTACAGATAAAAATCTAATGCTTGATGATAATCTACTTGTTAAATTTTGTGATAAATCAAGACAAGCATCATTAAGTTTTATTCAGAGTCCTAATTATAGATATGTCTTAATCAAGTATGCTTATGATAGTGTATATGATAAAGGAGAAAATTCGTTTGAAACGAGATATCAAATTGTTAGTTTACAAATAATGCTATCAGTCAAAACAGACGAACGTTTACAGCATTCATGATCTTATTATCGAGATGACACTGCATCACTTAGTATTTGTATCCATACTCCATATGTACTACAATCAACTATCTATGAATACATTAATGTGTACGAAATTGTTTCACTTTCTCATTATTTCTATTCAAGTCAATGAACGGAAAATTCAGAGTTTCAAAAATGGGAAACTCATAAAATAAACATAAAATTCTTATAAAGACAGTTCTTACTTGTATCTAGAAATTTGTTGATGGTGATATAATTGTAATTAAGGAAAATTTGTATCAGTCAAGCAAATATTTTGGCCAACTATGAAATGTTTGTATACAACACAATATCACTTGTTGTTTATATAATTTCAGTTTCAATGATATAAGACAAAAGAAATGTTACTTTGGGTTTTTCTCATGTTATTCATTTGCAAACACGACGTTGGCTAGTTTCGACGTTTACATTTCTTGCTTTTTATTCTCTTTTTAAAAATTTCTTCGACTATAATTGCATTCGTGAATAGCTTGACAGTGTTTGTATGAGTATGTACTGTACAGCAAACATTTGTCTACAAAATACGGTATTAAATTCAATTCTATTAGCCTTTCGAAATCTCTTAGTTTCTCCACAAACAAAAGTACTCGAAAAACCTGGGCTACATATACGGAAAGTCTGTTCTTCATAGATTGTAAAACACTCTTTCCAATCATCTACAAATCGTTTCAGAGTGGTGAAAAAGAATGCGACATTCTAGCTAGAAATCTCTTTGTCACTCGTTCTTGCTTGTACATCGATTTCTTATATTAAATACGTAGTATTAAAGCATCAGTTTTATTTCTTGAACAAGAGTATAACATGCCGTTTCACAAGCAATGAGAGTGATTAATACTAGATATTATTAATACTTTTAAGTACCTCATCTGCTTTTTCGTTCTCATCTGCTGGACAAACTCCAAGACAGTTGTCAGCAACAGAAAAATAACAATCAAAGGCGTGCGGATGACGTTCATCTTCGCCGTAAAGAAAAACAAATCCGCCATGAGCACAAGGTACCCACGAGGCTTGTCCCGTAGCGGTGACACATTCATCTGGATTAAGGAAACAATAATATTTTACACCTTTTTCCACTAGTGATGCTGAAACAGTCGGCTACGAAATAAACAGAGCAGATACAAACGACTAAAAAGAATAGATATCAAAAATTTACCTGGAACCGTCCATCATTCCATAACTGTTCAGTATATTTACATCGCCATTCTTTTCTTTCCTCAAACTCTAGACCATTAGTAGCTTCATACAGTGCGTTGATCCGAAGTGTTTGAAAGGCAGCATTTGATTGTTGTTCGAGTTTGAAGTAAGCATAGCCACCTGTTTTCAAGAATTGTTCCGCTGGACAATTCTCCTTTATAATGAGAGATGGAGATGGTGGATGAATCCAACAGAAATGTGTAGCATTAGGAGGAATATTAGCCACATCTGAAGCAAGGCCTTGCAGTGTGACTCGCGCAACTGGTGTGCGAAGGTTATACGTATTTGTCGTGCCGTTGTAATATAAGTCATATGTGAGGCCATCATATGCTAGTTGGAGAGAAATATCATCGACCGATCGTGTTCCTACATACACAAAAAAATAGAAGTGTGAAACTGATAATTTTCACTGTTAATATAATACCAAATGGTCCTAATGACTCAAGTTGAACAGGAACCTGTTCTTTTACAGGTAGTTTATCTTCATGTGCTATGTACACCCATTTACCATGTTGGCAAAATATGACGGTATTTGATGGCAAGCATTCGGATTCGATACTGTCAACAATTTTTGATGGTAAAGTGTGTAAATCCATATTGTATATTTGTGGACAATGATTAATGAAAAATAAATAACATAGATTTCTAGTACACAAACACGTTCCTATTTTTATTAGAGTAACAGAATGAGAAAGAATGAGAAAACTCAATCAAGCGTTTAATATCGCAAAATCGACTTATACGCTGAATAGAATTTTTTTTCTAAATAGCTTATTGAATGAATGTACGGGCAGCAAAATATCTCTTTATTCAAATCACTTTTCGCATTTTGGCAAATAGTAGTTTAATAGTGTTATTTATAACGTTTAAAATGGCGCCACTGTTCGAGCCAAAATGCGAACACTGATTTGAATAATGAATGAATGAATTTATTTTTGTAAAGAACACAAGGAAATTACAAGAAAGCTAGAGCTTGTTTGAATGTAACACCAGTTAAAATAAAATCTCACACATAGCAAAAATTTAGACGGTAAAAAGATGTTTTAATACAGTTGAAAATGCTCTTAGCGTATTCTGATGAACAACAGTACAAGGTAATTTGTTCCAGTCCTCTATAGTTTTGGGTACAAAAGAACCGGAAGCAGATTTTAAGGTGAAGTTCTTGGGCTGGACCCGTTTGTTATGTGAGTTTCTCTCAGTTTGACAGGTGGATAGACGACTAGTAAGACTGTTATGAGAAAGAGCACTGCAACCATGGTAAAGTTTATAGAAATAAACTAAGCGTGAAAATTTTCTCCGCGAGGATAATGGTGGTAAATTTAACGGACTTGAAAGGATAGTAGAAGAGGATACATAGCCTCGTAGTATGATTCTACATGATAGATTCTGTACTTTGTCTAATACAGATAAGTGAGTGCAATAGGATGAGTCATAAATGATAGAACCATACTCCAAAGCCGGGCGAACACAAGTTTTATAAAAGTGAAGACGTAACGAAGGTGGAGCATCCCTAAACACACGAGTAATAGATCCCAACATCATCGTACAATTAGATGCAATATGTTCTAAGTGGCGTTTCCAAGTCAGGTCATGAACAAGTCTCATGGCAAGTAATTTTATGGCTGTTGAGCGTTCAATTTTTACATCGTTAATAGTAAATGACATAGATGGATAGGTATTAGGTAAAGTAGAAAAGATTATTCACTCGCATTTTTTTATATTGAGACCAACGAGGTTAGTGTCACACCAGCAAATTACCTCGTCAATACAAGATTGAGCCTCATCCAGATCGCAGAGTAGAAATAGATCGTCAGCAAAAAGGCATGTTAAATAGCGGAGAAGCTAACGATTGTGGTAAGTCACTTATAAATATGAGGTAAAGTAATGGGCTAAGAATTGACCCTTGAGGAATTCCGGAACTAACAGAAACAGAAAGAAAAGCGACCTCACCTACTACAACTTTTTGTGTCCTTCCTGTAAGATAGGATTTGAACCAGTCGAAAAGAGAACCAGAGATGCCGGCGGATGAGAGTTTCCTTAGTAAAATATGATGAGGCAGGCGATCAAACGCTTTCTCAAAATCGAACCCAATGCCAACAATTTTGCGTCGGTTATTCAGATGCTGATAAATATTGTGAGTAATTAAGAGACGCTTCGTCAAAGCATCAAGGCCCTTGATGCTTTTTCGAAACCGAAGTTGTTGATAGTGGTAATTTTCGGAATAGAGAGTGTTGACGTATCTTTGGTGCTGAGGAGTTTACATTCAAATGCTTGCACTCCTTTCACACCATCATATGAATGGCAGGCCTCAATGAATTCCGATGCATTTGTTACATTATGTTTTTCGTTTAGATAACGCCGGATATGTGCTTTGATCACAGCAGCATATCTGTCACATACTGATTTTCCTGCCTGAGGATCCGAAAAATCCATTCGTTCAATTTTAATTTTTGTTTCTTTCGATATTTGTGGTAGTGATAATATTGTTGCTGCTGAGTGGTAACATCCGGCGTTATTGAGGTATGGCATACCTCAAAAGAGCCGTAACGTGAAATTTTTTAACATATACTTTTTATTATATTTTTGGATTCTACAATCAAAACTAAGGTTATGAAAAAATTATTAGCCTTCCAGACGTTATTTTTACTGAGTTATAGAATTTACAAAATGAGGTATAAAACTTTACTTTAGGACCAGGGCAACACAGTGGAAATTGCATTACAATGAGTTACTGTTAAGTCTTTCGACTTATTGCCCTAGTGTTTTCTTTTTCTTTTCGTGTTATAGTTCACTTTATTTTTTCGTTGTTCTTAGATCTCTTCTATTTCTTTTTCGTGATGGAGAAAAACCCAGTTCTTAGATCTTTCATATTTTCTTCTTCGTAGTGGGAGAAAACCCGGTTATAAGTGAATATATGCTTAGTGTAAAGGATCATCTTCCTTCTCCTCATTGTCTCACCTTTCACTGACCTATTCATCGTAATGAACTCTTGACCTTACAGTCACATTTCTTCAAGTCATTATAATGAACTACTCTCCCTTGTACAGTTCATGACTTCTTGTTCCACTTCACTGCTTATCTAC